GACTTGCTATACTTGTTTCTTAATATTTGCTTGAAAGGGAGGAGTTAAAAGCCCTTAGTATCTGCTCAGTGTGATCAGAAAGAGGTAGCTGCCGTCTGAGTGGCTAACTGGGACCCGAGGGCACTTGAATGGCCCACCCGCTTAAAGGACTTGTTCTGCCCTAACTGGGCTTCTATCCAAAAATGTGACTAAAACCGGAGGCCAAGGCTGAGGCCCTGCTGGCTTCATGGGCCGGCAGCCTGTGCGGTTGCACGGGGCCCACGCCGAGAAGGGCCTCGGTGGGTTAATGCCCTGCTGAGGGCATCTCGGTGGGCACGGGCGTGAGAGAGGGAGAGGCGCAGTGTGCTGCCCCTGTTCTGTGCTGCCTCATTTACTGCATTCAGGATGCCCCATGAGCACAGAATCCCATTTAAAACTGTAAGTGATCGAAAGCAGAAAGCGGACAGCAAACAGTGAATTCATGATCAGTGACATGCTCTTTGATTAATATTTTTCAGCTGAAAAAACAAATTTTCATTTACATTAAAGTTTGGCTGACAAAAATGTTTCAAAACATGAGGTCAGTGTTAAAAAATAAAAAAGGATCCCTACTTCAGGACAAGCCGAGAGCCACTACTGATTACTCCCTCTACCATCAGAGGAGCAGGGAACTACTTAAAAACAGACTGGGAGCCAGCAGAGCAATTTCCCCTCACCATTTCCTGAACCCCTGTAACCGCCTCAGTTCTTGAGTTCAGGCATTTTAGAGTAAAGCTCCCTAAGCCTTGAAGAAGGGCCATACGCATATCCCGGGGCAGTGAAAACAGGGGGAGAAGTTGTTCACATACAGCTGCATTCCTCCCCTAAGCTGTGCACTGGAAAGGCACCCCAAAAAGAAAAGGGGTGCCTGGCTGGCTTGGGGGCATAACCAGCAGGAGACCATGCACCCCTGACCACCGACAGGGAAGACCTGTGTTTAGACACAATTGCACAGCGGTCACCACGGGCAAGGCCTTTTCCCACCATGAGCCCTTCTTCAAATTGTTCACTGTCATCATCAGACGCTTTGATGCTCCATGCCCTCTACTAAGTTGCACTTTCTAGGCCTAACTCAGGCTTCTGTACACCAGGCTAGGAGTCACGGATCATTTCCTCTGTTTCCAGGATGAGGAACTGGGGCTTAGTGAGGTCACACGGGAGGAAGGGGCAGAGCCGGGTTCCAGGCTGGGCTGTGTGCCCTGGGCTGGCACTTGTTTTCCTCGATGCCTCTGAGCACCAGCCGTATTCCCATCTCTTCCTGGGAGTGAGTTTAATCTCCCCACAATAGGTGCTCGAGGTCAGGGACTGGGTCCTTATGTATTTTTGAGGCCTGAAGAGTCAGGCGCTTAGTAGGCAAGTGGTGACTCCGTGTAGATTAATACCCCTGCCCAGGTCTGCTCTGTGGTGTGCTGTCTTGTAAGTATAAGCGTCAGCCAGAGCAGGGACATGTACAAGCAGTAGAGTCAATGTCCAAAGGAGTGAACGAGATTCTGATCTGTACCCGTCTCTTCTCTGCACTTCTCTCCAAAGGCCCCTCCTCACCAACCACCTAAACAACCCAGCCAGACCTCCTTCTCCGCCCGTGGGCATACTGCTAATATAGGCATTATGTAACTAATAAATAATGTGCTATGCCATATACCTCTATATTATAGTACACATGGGCTATACTAACTCCCGTGGGTTTAGTAAAGGTGGCGGTAAGTGCATATTGTGCCCCAAACCCGGGTACAGTGCTGGACACAGGAGCCGCACCGCCGTCTGTAAATGTATTTATAGGAAGAGACAGATGTTTCACATGGAGCTGACGTGGCTGCTGTAAATGTGGGTCAGGGCGAGCCATTGCGCTGCTGCCCTCAGAAATCGCTCAGAGTGGAGGGCTCCTCTCCACTGCCAACTATTCAAGAAAAACGATGCCAAGTGGACACCTCCTGGGCAGGAGGCACATCCAGGCAGTTTGCCTGGGAACACACCCAAGGGAGGGCGATGACAGACATCACCCTGCACAGGCAGCTCCGGTCCATCAGCGTGGCGCTTAGCCACTTTGTGGATGTTCCGTGTGTCCTCTCGGTCTAGTGCCTGTCTCACATGGGCTCCAGAGTTTCCCACATACCCCTCACTGCTGTCCTGTGTGCAAAATAATTTTCATATTAACCTTGACCAAAAATCCAGGGAATTCCACCAGTTGAAAAAAAACACCCATACGATGAATTCCGTGGCTGAGCAGAAATGGTCTGTGGGATAACCACGTCCAGTCTGAATCGCTGCCTTTGGTCCTCCTTGAGGGCCGCGTGTGCATTACGATTATTTCAACTTGGCGTTGAAAAGGCCCCGATGAGTCTTCTGATACAACGGTTTTCTAGTTTATAGTGGGAGGATGCTTTTGTCAAAGGAAATCCTACCTGGAAGCCAACCCACAATTCAGAATTACCCTGAGCAGTTGGTGCTCCCAGGGCGGGGCCTATGGGGCTTGCTCCTTCCTCAGAAGCGCCTAGGAGCACAGTTTGAAAACCATGCAGCCATTCCCCCATACGTTATTCCCTCACTTGCTAACCCAACCTTTCTCGAGTACCTACTGTGTGCTGGGTGCCAGTGAGCCAGCAGGTAACAGGGGAGGGGGGGCCTCTCTGCAGAAGCGAACAGTGCGGTGTGAGGGGCAGACAGGAGTTCAGGGGGTGGTAAGTGCTGCGAAGCAAGTAGATCAGGCACTGTGGCTGGGCCAGGAGGTGGCTGCTTCAGACTGGGGATCAGGAATGGCTCTCGGGGGATGTGAGAACAGAAGGAGGACCTGGAAGGAGGCCTGATTCTGACCAGCAGGGAAACGGCCTCAAAGAGGCGAGTGACTTTCCCAGGTCACAAGCGGGGAGGAGGCTGAGCTGGGACTTGACCCTGGGTCTCCAGGCTTCCTGCCAGGGCTCTTTCCTTTCACAATGTTTACCAAATAGCTGCTGCGCTCAAAGAAGTCGAGGTGATTGGTGACATCCAAGGGCTGACCAACCACCAACCACCTCCTGGTGTTTGGGGCTGTCTGTCATGACTCTTGACCCCCTCCCTGCCCTCCTCAGCCTGTTACAGCTGGAGGTCTGTAACCCAGAAGACAGCGCCCTGCAGCTGTCCTCCCTGACCCTGGCCTGGCTGGGAAAGCGTCCTCCTCTCCTGTCCCCCTGGCTGCAAACTGGGAAATGCTCCTGCTGCTTCCATTGCTGGCAGATGGTACAAGCAAGACGGAGGGTCCAAAGCCTCCCGCTCACCGGGGGGAAGGGTGCCTGGAAGTCATGCCACTCCAGGGCTCTGACTCCAAGGCCACCCACTCCAGGGTGGGCCTGCGCTGCGGGGGCATCCACCCAAACCCCGCACCCCCGGCCGCACGGGTGTCACAGAGTGCTGCGAGGCAGACAGCCCTGTGACGCTGAATATCATAGGGAGCAGCATGCAAATGGCGCCCTCTTTGACCCACAAACCAAACGGCTCCCGGCCCCCAAGTGTTGCCCATACCTCCCAGGTGGCACCTGTGGGCCCAGCATTCGCCCTTTGCCCTCAGAGCCTTCCTGCTGTCAGAGCACTTCCCAGGCATCAGCTAACTGGTGCCTCATGAGGTAGGAAGGGCAGTGGTTACTAGTTTTGCACACGAAGCTGAAGCCACGGAACCCCAGAGTGAGCTGTGCAGGGAACACTGCACTGACCAAGGAACAACCACTAACTTCTGACTCAGACCCAGGTCTCCAGATTCTTTCCACTAGAACTCAGCTGCCCACGAGGTAAACACAGACCATCTGCTGGCCTACCACCACCTTTGTTCTCTTTACCCTCTGCCCCAGAGTATGCACAGGGGCTTTTCCAGAGCTGCCTCTCCTCTCCAGCCACGCCTGCCTCACCACGTGCCACCCTGCCGGAGGCCTCTGGGGCACCTACTTCTGCACTTGGCCACTCTGACCCAGCAGAGATGCTCTCCTGTCCAACCCAGCTGAGCCCTCCTCCCTTTCATATTCTCCAGCCTGTTTATGCATGTGAACACTGCACATATCACGTGAAAACAACACCCTCTAGAACACGGTTCTCAACCTGTGGGTCACAACCCCTTTGGGGTCGAACGACTCTTTCACAGGGGTTGCCTAAGATCATCGGAAAACACATATGTAATTACATATTGTTTTTGTGATTAATCACTATGCTTTAATTATGTTCAATTCGTAACAATGAAATTGGGGGTCACCACAACATGAGGAACTGTATTAAAGGGTCGCGGCATTAGGAAGGTTGAGAACCACTGCTCTAGAACCTTCCACACTTTCCTTCTTTCTATACCAAATTAAAATCAACTACCCAGACAGGCAAACAGAGGCGACAGGGTCTGCTGCACCATGTTCCCCAGTACATCTCTGCGCCCATGGGACTGTGCACAGCCTGCACGGGCAGGCAGATGCTGAGGACAGTCCTGAACACACAGGAGGCGCAACAGCTGCTGACATGGTGAGCCCTGCTCTGCATGGGGGACAGAGCCAAGGATGTGAAATTTTAGTTAGGATCACGCTGGACCTGTCACCTCATGCTTAAGAGCCAGCGACTGGAATTCAGGGTGGACAAAGAGAATGGCAATTTGAAGAGGAGCAGCCATGCACTGAGCAAGCTGGCAGCACAGGGCACTGACGGGCCCAGAGCCTCTCCCAAGACCCGCGTGAAGAAATCAGGAGCACAGTTCTGGGCACAAAGGCTGGGACCCCGTACAGACACCAGTGCTTACACACATCCATCCTGAATGTCCCCAGGATTCCCGCCCCACTCCTAATCAGAAGTCAGCTAGCCCTTGCCCGCCAAGGCCCTCTGCGGTCCAGCCTGGGGGTTGGGGGGAGAGCGCGGGGGGGGGGGGCAAGACAGAGAAAGTGGGGCGCTTCCTCCCCGCGCCCCGCAGGCCTCCCGGGGACGCCCTCCTCCCCGTGCGCCCCAGCCCAAGGGCCCTCTGGAGCCCGGCGCACTGCACTTACCGGCCATGGGGCACAGGGCTCGGTTCGCAGCCAGGGGAGTGGAGCCTGGAGGTGGAGCGGAGGCTCGGAGGGCCGCCCCCTGCCCGCCCGCCCGCCGCGCTCCTGACCTCCCACCCGGAGGGTCTGGGTGAAGGCGGTGCGCTCGCTGGAGCCCTTGGCCCTTCCTGCCGCCCGCGCCTCTGCCCGCCCCGCCCCGCCCGCTTCCCGGCGCCCACCCTCCCCTCCGCGCCCCCTCTGTTCCCAGGCTCGCTCTCGCCCAGCGCCGCGGGCTGGGCTCCCCAGAAGCCCTGTGCGGCAGCGTCTTTGTTTGGGACTTGGCCTTTCTTCAATTCACAGCACACAGAGCGAATTCAGTTGGAGTTCGGGGCAGCTGTGCGGTTGCCTGGGGGACTCTTGTTAGGAGGTGTTGGGGTGGACTGGGGTCCCGCGGCTTCCAGATGCCCGTCTGCCCTTAGCCCCCTCCACGCCCCAGGCTTCTGCTGCCCCCAGGTCGGCCCTGGTGGAGCAGGAAATGAGCAGGGTCCTGGGGGAAGCTGGCCCGGGAGGGCTCCCGACTCTAGGGACTAGCATGTGTGACCGCAAAGGGCCTTCCACCTCCCGCTTCTCCCCCCACAGCCAGCACAGGGAAGACTACCATCACTGCCCTGTCCCTCCGACAGTCCCACTGGCCATCAGCTTCCCATTCCCTGGGCAGGGAGAACCGAGATCTCTTCCTAGACTGGGGGACAAGGGAGGCCAGGCAGAGAGCCCACCTGCCTGTGCCCTGGCGGAGGGCAGGGCAACGCTGCCTGTGACGGGCTCTGACCTACCAGTGGGCAGGCCTGTGTTACTTCCCAGAGCAGCAGAGGCCTGTGCTTATCCAACCATGTCCTTTTGAAACTGGACTGCAGGGAGCAAGGTTACCCATTTACCCAGCTGCTGGGTCAGGGAAGCCAGGGGAGGCAGGGAGAGCTGACAGGCAGGGCATGGGAGCACCAGCCTTCTAAATGTTAGCAGAGGGGACGTAAATTGGGGGTCTTGAAAGGAGATGATTGCAAGTGTCCCTGTGAGAGGAAGACCTGCAGGGGGGGTGGGGGGGGATATGGAAGGAACAGCAGAAGGCTGTAGAGGGGGGCATGGAGAGGGGGTCTCAAGGAGGAGGACCCTGGTGGTGGTGTGGGGGTGGGAGTCGGAGGAGGACCTGGAGAGATGTGAAGCTGAGAGAAGATGAGATGGGGGAGAGTGTAGACCAGGGAGAGAGGGCTGGGTTGAGGACAGAACTGTGGTCTAAGCAGGCAAAGCAGTCAATGAAAGGAACTGAGACCATCCCGGGGGCTCCCGGGAAGAGGGTGTGCTCAATAGGGACCCACACTGCAGGGATACCAAAGAGCAGGGTCTGTGGGGACTTCTGAGAGAATTATTTTGGTGGCGGGGAGCAGGAGCCGATCGCCCCTCCTTGGGGACATCTGGACATGCGGGGACCCAAAGGCACAGCGCTTCGCTCCCGCTCCAGAGGCTCCTGACGGCCATTACCCCAGTGCCAGGGCTTCCCAAGGAGTTAGCGGAGGCTTCTGTGGAAATGGCACCTCCGTTCCAGTCCACTCTCTGCCCAGTCCCATTTCCTTGCCCTCTCACAGGTGTGTTCCCAAGCAGCTCCCAGTAGGCCTCCTGCATGCTGATCCCCACCTCCATTTCCATGCAGAGTCTGTTTCCCAGAAACCAACCTGAGCTACGCGGCCACTGAGAAAGGGAGAGTGAAAGAAAGAAAAGGTGGCATGGTTACTAGACTGGCTGCGGTGGTCGCTCTGTAAGGCCTATAAATATGGAATCACTATGTTGTACACCTAAAACTAATGTAATATCGTATGTGGACTATAATGAAAAACAACTTTTAAAAAGGACATAAAGAAAAAAGAAAAGAATAGGTAGATGGTGATAAACGGCATGAACAGCACACGAGCATTACGGAGACCAGACGGGAGCGAGGCTGCGCAAGCACAGAACATAGCCTTGCCCTCTGGCCTTCCTACAAGACCTCTAATGAAGCAGACCCCCAGTGCAGACCCTGACCTCTCATTAAGCGGTTTTAAGAGACAGAGATTGTCAGAAAAAGAGCGGTGGTGTTAAAGGAAAAGACAGAAATGGGGCGCGAGAGGAGAGTTATTCATAGTAGAATATGATTGCAATAGTCCTGTGAAGGGGAGACCCGTAGGTTTGCAGAAGACAGTAGAAGAGAGAAGGGGGGGGCAGGCCTTCGGAGGGAGAAGAATGCTATAGGTGGAGAAGGCTGAGGGGGAGTGAGTGTTCAATAAAGTTAGTAATATTAAAGCAGGAATTAGGAAAGAGAGCGTTGGAAAATGTTCTGAAGGACCTTATGCAGTATGAGAGGGCAAGTAAGAATTGAACCTGTGGACCAGGATGTCCTGTCTCCAGCACTGTCCCTACTAACATTAAACATGTAGAATAGTGAACCAATAGAAATATGGTTTGTAATTAAAAATTTCCCTGTAGCCATGTTTAAAAATTGTAAAAAAGTAACAGGTGTAATTAATTTTAATGATACAGTTTATTTAACACAACATATCTAAAATATTATTTCAACATGCATCAATATAAAAATTACTAATGAGACATTTTATATTTCTACCTATGAAATTTTCTAGCTCTGATGTGCATTTTACGCTCCCAGCACATCTGACTTTTCATTGAAACACCTGATCTGTATTTAGATTTGATAACATTCATGGTTGAAAAAATAAGATTTACAACCAAAGACATTGTATGCATATATGCATAACCCATGGACACAGACAATAGGGTGCTGAAGACCTGGGCGGAGGGGAGGAGGAGAGGGGAGACGCAAGGGCTGGCTTGAGGGGTCAATGGGGGGAAAAAAAAGGAAAAGTAGATTTACAAGCCTAAATTGCTGCATACATACTTATGCTTTCCAACTGACTCAAATGATAAGGAAGTTTATATTAATTAAACCTAATTGAAATAAAAATATTTAATCTTTCAGTTGCACTTAACAGATCTCAAATCCTCAATAGCCACATGTGACTAGCAGCTGCCACATCAGACCACAGGTCTGGAATATGGATTCCTAGACTTCTGGATTTGTGTCTTTGTTTTGTTCTCACTGTCTGTGAAAAAAATGGACCCCCAACCACCCACCAAGTGTTGCTCCACTAACAAGATCCTAATGTGTTCCATCTTATTTCACAGAATGCTCTGAAGATGAGGGAGAAGGTTGAAAATCCAACATCTGTGGAAGGGAAATGGGGGTTTGGCTTGGACTAGACGAGGAGTGTGGAAAATGAGATATGAGTTGGAAGTATTCCATCCTGATCGTTACTCCGTGTTCACACGAGGAGTCTGTGGTTTCCTTCCAAGCCGGGTGCGCCGGAGACTGCACGGGTGGCGCACAGCACAGCTCTTGATGGCGCCGTCTCCCATTTTAGCAGTTCCCCTTGAGCTCTGAGCGCTGACTGAGTCCAAAACACTTGGGTGTGGCTGCTAGGTCTGGCCCTCATTTCCTGCATTGCAAAATGGGGAAAGCAATCCCTTATTCCGGGGAACAATAGGAGGGAATTGGTGAAAACCCAACTGTGAAGCTACAGTGAAGGCAGAGTGTCTGTCCCAGACTTGGAGACCGTGCCCCCCGCCTCTGCTTGTGGCACATCTTTTGCTCCCAGCTGGGTGCTGGCAGCCTGTGCTTTCAGGCCACACTCAGGCACCGATTGCCTGCCTTGCATCTGACAAATCCGTCATGGGGTGCTGGGGTGATGGAGGTTCTAGAGCAGCCGTGGGCAAACTATGGCCCGCGGGCTGGATCCGGCCCGTTTAAAATGAATAAAACTAAAAAAAAAAAAGACCGTACCCTTTTATGTAATGATGTTTACTTTGAATTTATATTAGTTCACACAAACACTCCATCCATGCTTTTGTTCCGGCCCTCCGGTTCAGTTTAAGAACCCATTGTGGCCCTCGAGTCAAAAAGTTTGCCCACCCCTGTTCTAGAGCCTCCTTTAGAGATGTAGAAAGAATTCCCTCCTTTGCTCTGAAGGGTCCTACATCTACTACTTGGAGGTCCAGGTGAGATCTGGTGGGATCCCCACGCCAGCACAAGGCCTGATCACCTTGCTTCCTGGCAACAGTATCTACTAGTATAGCCATTTCTAGAAATGGAGTCACACAAATGGATGAACACACACACACACACACACACACACACGACACTGATGAGTATGATATGGTATTGCTGTATTGCTGCCATCCCCAGACTATATGGCACATTAGCTTAATATTCAGGTTGTACCTTAACCCCTCACAGGACAAGAAATGTAAAACTTGGATTTCTCCATCCCCTGTGTACAAGCCTATCTTTCAAACCAATGTCCAGTCACTACCCAGAAGGGCTGCACGGAAATGAATGTTCCCTTGACATCCTTTGCTCTTGCCTCTGTGACACTCGCTTGGTGAAGCTGCCGTCTTGAGGTGGCCCTGATGAGGTCTCTGTGCATAGACTCGGAGCCTCCCCAGGAAAGACAGTGTGTTCTGGGAGGTAGAAACACGCAGGTAGAAAGCACTCCCCTCCACGTACACAGCACACAGCTGTCTGACTCCGCCTGTTTCCCCATCTTTAAATTGGGGAGAAACTCATGAGATTTTTCTTCTTCCATCTTAGTGGAAACTGGCCATACCTTCTTCATCCCTGTGAAAATCAGAGCTCCACACACTCTGGCCAGCCTCTTTCCCTCTTCCAGTTAAATATTGACCAGTTAACATTTGCTTGAATTCAAACTGCATTTAACTATGAACTTAATGACTGAATTTACTAATTTCTGCAACAATACCCGGTACTTAGTAGGAGGTGGCAAAGAAATGGTTGTTCAGTTGAACCTCACGGTCTCAGGTATAATTCCCATGAAAGAGACCTGACATCAGAAGTGCGAGTTTTTCAGTTGTGAGGCATACGTCCAACGACTCCAAGAACATTAGTTGCGCTAATTTGTGCTTGAAATAATTATTGATCTTCATTAACAGTGTTAAAAGCATTGCTCCCATGTCCAATTGCTTGTCATGCTCCCTTGGCATGCTGCATAAAGGACTTGCAGCTTGTTCTTTCCCAGGAGAGCATTATTCAAAGCAAGACAGAAAACACATTT